TCCTCTTCTGGCCTCCATAGGCACCTCTATGTGGGTGCACACATAGAAACACAGAGACACACAAATAGATAATAAAATAAATCTTTTTTTAAAAATAAAGCCAGGCTGGGCATGGTGGTGCACACCTGTAATCTCAGCACTTGGGAGGCAGGCAGATCTCTATGAGTTCAAGGCCAACCTAGTCTACATAGTGAGTTCCAGGCCATTTCCTTTGCCCATTAAGCTTCTGGACGAGACAGTTTTCAGGGAACAACAGTCTGGGAACCCGATAAATAGACCCCAGCATGATCAGATATGCTCAGCAAGATCTTGACTGCAGAAAAATCTACAACAAACTATTTGGAATCTTCACTCAACAATTGTAAAGAGAAAGTTAAAACAAAGAAAACCAAAAACATGAGTAGGACCAGGTGTAGTGCACACCTGTCATCCCAGCACTTGGGAGGTAGAAGCAGGAGAATGATAAGTTTGAGTCCAGCCTGGGGTATATATAAAGACCCTATCTTAAGAAACAAAACAAAACAAAAACCCTGTACTTTAGTGTGCAGAGATTCAGGTCCAGATTTTTAAACTGGATAAAATGAAAGAAGTAAGTAAGTAGAGAATTTAGTGTCCTGATTTCTCATAGTTTTGAGATGAGAGATTGCTTTAGAGGACAGGCACATGTTTTGGGATGAAGTTGACAAAATTCTACAGGTTGAGCCCAACCTTAATCTGAAAATTTAAGAAAAAGAAACTTTTTGAGTGCCAATATGCAACAGGTGGAAACTTACATACCTGTTAGGGACCACAGTCAAAAGGCAGGCACACTGGAAATGGTGGGTAAGGTTGCCTTCAGCTAGATGTGGAGATGTACATGAAAAAAGTGAGAGAATTTTGTTGTTAGATTTTGAGTCCTGTCCCAAAGATACCATTACATATATGCAAATATTCCAAAATCTCAAACAATCCCAAATCCAAAACATTTCTGGCCCAAGTATTACAGATAAGGGAGGCAACCTGAATTTCCTTTCTCAGTTGGCCATCACAAGAGCGTTGCCTTACAATTAGCCAGTGTATACAATATCCATTTTATGCTATCTTCTGCTTTCTCTCTCTCCATATATAAATATGTATTTTATATATTATATATAAATAAATTTATGGTTTATCTGTTTGTTTCATTTTGTCTTGAGACAGGATCTCACTATGTAGCCCTGGCTGGCCGGGAACTTGGTATGTAGACCAGGCTGGCCTTGAACTCAGAAATCCTCCTGCCTCCCAAGTGCTGTGATTAAAGGCCTGCCCCACCACACCCAGTTCACTGTATTTAATAATAAAAAGTTATGTGATAACAGAAACCTGTTATGTGATAACAGGTTTTCACTTATTCATTTCAACTCTTAATAGCAATGGCTCATTGTGTGTGTGTGTGTGCTGGGGAACAGACAGGTGCAATCCCTGCCTTTGGGAGAAGGGACTGGCTGGATGCATTAGACTCTTCATTGTCATCCTAATGAATTGGAATTGGGAGGGGGATGTGAATTCCACACTTGTGGAATGCTTGCCTATAGTGCAAGAGACACCGAGTTTGGTCCCCAGCATCATAAAAGAAACAAATAAATGGACTGAAGTGGATGAAGAAGAGTTTTTGGGAGTGATGTATAGTTTAGGGAGATGGTGGTGGCCTGCAATGGGAGTGGCAGAAGAGAGAAGGAGTAGATTGTCAACATATTTTGGAGATGAACTGACAGACTGGTGATTTGTGTGTGTTGTGTTTGGGTGGGATAAGTAAAGAAGGAAGTCAGTTTTCCTTCTAGAACTGGTTGATCTAATAGATGATGGAACCATATCCTGAGATAGCCAATCTGAAGTTATTATATAAGTGAGATGGTACTCAGAACTGCTATTCTGCTATAAGGAGTGATTCATATTCTGTCTTAGGTTCTTAGAGCTTTCTCTTTGATTTCATAGAGCTCAATATGTGTCTTGCTTGTGGAAGCCATGCATGTGAACTTTTGAGCACAATGTGTTTCCTGCAAGTCTAGCTGAAGAGATGCCTGCCAAGATCCTTCCCAGGGGTCACTGTGTGGCATCAAGGTATTGAGTATACTCTGTGCATGACAGAAGAAGTTTAGCCATATGCTATTAAGTTCAACCCATTTGACTTAATCCTTATAAAATTACTGTATGCATTTGTTTCTAAATTGTAAGTGAAGAAACTTGACAGCAAACAGCCTGGGCAAGGGCTTAATATACTGATCCTTAGCTTCACGAACTGTCATCATTTGTTTGATTTCACAACAGTATTTTGAGAGTCCTTATATGTAACAAGAAAATGAAAATATACTAGATTAGAAGATGTGTGGCAATCTCAGGAAGAGGGATTGGTTATGCCTGGGGTGAATTTCACAGATGTGATGTGCTAGCTGAACTTGGGGCTCACCAAAAGGAGGCAAAGTAGTTGTGGTGAGTAGGAAGGACTGCAGACAGATGGAGAGGTTTGTGAAAGTAGAGAGCTACCACAAGGATACACACTTGGTACTTACTATAAAGCAACTTCCACAGGGAAGTGTGGTAACTAGGTGTCAGATAACTCTTCTTGTTCTAGGCACTATAAAGGCATTTGTGGTTGGAGGCTTCTTAATGGGTTTGTTCTGCTCATTCTGAATCTCTCCCATCCTTATTTCTTGCTCTTGCAGATATTTCCTCCTCCTTGGAGTGGCCTTCAGCCCTCCTTGTCTCACCATCTTGAACAATCATTGCTTTCTGACGATTGTAAACTTGGGCTAAGTCTATATGACATGGCACCATCTTCCCATGTTACCACCAACTTAAGCAGGTGCTTTACTCTGGGTCATGTCCACATGTATCCACCCTCTAAGTTGCTGGTGCCAAGGACAAGGGTCTCAGGAACATAGATGTGACTTACCTAGCAGGTAGAGTCATCTAAAAAATCCAGGGAGAAATGGAGGATGACAGCTTTGGGGTGTCTAGGACAGGAAGAGGCATGGTGGTTTGGGTGTGACAGGCTGGCTAATTTGGTTATGAGTTACCCTTGCATAGTGAGGGATAACAGGGACTGCAGGCTGAAAGCTTGCCTTGGCTAGATAAATATACCCCCATACTCCCATACCCCCACACCTACATGTAATTTGCAATGCTAGGCATCAAATGCATGACCCTCATGTGCTAGGCAGACACTTTATCACTGAGCTGCACCCCTAGGCTTTTCTTTGACTATACTCTTTAGGCTGTTTTTGGGTTTCTTCACTGACAGTTTAGGAACAAAAGCACTTAACTCACATATACTTTTACAGGGATTAAACCAAATGGGTTTAAGATGATAGCCTGTATTTTGCTTTGTCTTGTCATAGGAATACACATGGGAATGTTATAGGTGTGCATATAGGGTGCACCTGGTGCAGTGACATGGCTCTCTTCCCCTGGATTTGCAGCAAATCAGGGCATTGCATTGCATTCAAATGACCACATACACAGGTGCCTTCAATGGGAAGGACATTCATTTAGTTTTTTGAGATAAAAGATGAAACTCCAGCAATGTTGGAAAGAATGTAAGTCCTTTCTCAGCAAAACAGCAGGCTCCATACTGTGAGCATCGCATTTCTGCTATGCTGGAACTGCCTTAGGTTGAGTTACTCACTAGTTAGAGGGTGCCATTGATAAGCCAAACTAGGAAGTGATTTTTCAATATCTTCTATTTGGTTTTAGAGTACTTTATATGGTGGATGGTGGCAGATTTCTTTTCCTCTGCATCAAATTGACACAATATGGCATGTTAGACTTTGAGGACTCAAAGTTCAGTAAGACACAGACATGCAATGAAAAGATTACTGATTCTACAAAAGAGGCACTAACAGAGCTAGTCCTAGCTCAATGGGGTGGAAAAATCTCATGGTGAAGGTGGTCTGTCAATCAAGATACAACAGGTCTGTGGCAGTAACACACAACCATCAACTCTTAGTGGTTTAATAACCCCCAAATCACCATTGCTTCTATCAAGAGCACATCAGCAGGGAGTCTCAGCCTATGTGGCCACTGAAAAGGACACAGGCTCCTTCATTATTATATTTTAAGGGTAAGTCTGGGAAGGAAATTCCCATGGGGCTTGTTGATTTCAAAAAAGGGGTTTTAATTTTGTTCACTCTTTTTTCCTAGTACCTAGGACAGTGTTTACCACTAGTAGCTCCGGCTTACTAAGCAATTTTGGTGGAGAAATTCCCAGGTGATTGCTAATGCAGATTGAGCGCCTCTGACATCTGGGCCAGGAAGACAAGTTTCCTTATCTGAGTGAGATGCGTTGTCAAGAAAGTGTACCGGCCGCCACTAAAGGTTCTGTCAAGACTGACCACCCGAGGAGTTTGTTCTTGGGACCCATATGGTGGAAAGAGAGACTTCTGTAACTTGTTCTCTGACCTCCACACACGTGACCCCTTGCACGCACACATAAATAATGTAACAACAACAACAAAAAACTTTTAAAGCAAATGTAAAGAAGAAAGAGAGGAGGTTGAAGAATGAAAGTAGGAAACCGTGGCTTCTGGGGGTCAGAAAGGATTACACAAACGCAGGGAAGGAGCAAAGAAGGGATCGGTCAGTCAGTAACTGATGCCACCAATGGTTGGAGAACGCCGCTGATGACCTACCCAGTGATCACTGGGCACAGGCCATTCCGACAGCAAAGAGCTGCCACCTCCTGGGAAAGGAGGGAAATTAGTGGCACGGGGAAGGCTGGGTCATGGAGCCGCCGGCTCTGTTGGGGTTTGGTTTTGGAGGGCTGCACGTAGCCCATGGGGAAAGATGGATGGAGAGAGACCGAAGTTGCATGAGGGAGGGAGAAAACAGATAGTTGGCATCGAAGGGCTGTATTCGAGGAGAAAGGGCCAACTTGTGAGAGGAAGCGCAGAACTTCTGCCTTGGGTGGCCTCGCAATCTTCTTCGCACATCGGCCGGAGGGGCGGAGGGAGGGCGTGGCGGAAGGCGTGGCCGGATCCCCGACAGGTGCGCTGAGCTCGGCGGGCTGGCTGTGGGGGCGGGGCTAGCCTGGAGGCCGCACCCTGAAACTACCTGCGCCGGGAGGAAGAATGATACCCAGAGCCACCGCCGCCGGCCGGGCGCGCTGGGCCAGCCCCGGAACTCGGCCCGCACCGCACCTTGCGCCCCGCGTTCCCGGTGTCCCCCGCGTCCCGCGAGCCATGGGAGCAGGCTGCCCGCAGGGAGCACGATTCTGAGACCTCGACCGTGCGGCCGAGACCATGAGGAGCGATCGGGGCCGCAAGGCCGGAGGGGGCTCGAAGGACTTCGGCGCGGGACTCAAGTACAGTTCTCGGAGAGAGGTGGGCAGGGCCGGGGACCTGGGGGCCACTGCCCCGCCCACGCGCTCGGGGACCCTGCGCGGCACTTGGTTTCGGCGGGGCTGGGCTCTTGCCCGCGTGTGGCCGGGCTCGGGGCGCACAGGTGGAATTTCCTGTTTGGTGGGTGCCTGGCGGCCGACCGCAGGGCGGGGCTGGCCGGACCTCGGTACCGGAGCTGGGGCGCCGACCATGGAGGAGGGAGGAAGCCCCGGGGTCTGGGGGCGCTCCTCCCGCTTCCTGCCCCTGGATTCTTTCTCTGACTTTAGCCGAGGACCTCCGTGGGGCGCCCCCATTACCCCGAGTTATTAAAGCCTAGAGTGGCGCGATCTGGGCGGCGGAAAGGCCTGTGTGTCCTTGGCCTCTGCAGAAACTCGTTTTCTACCTGGTCAAAAGGCGCTTTGGGGGCGGGTGAGAAGGGTGAGATGGCTCCGGGAGTAAAGGTACCTGCTGCCAAGCCTGATGACCTGAGTTCGATCGCTGGGACCCACATGGTGAAAAGAGCGTCAGCTCCTGCAGGTTACCCTTAGATCGCCACACCTACATATATACACGCACTAAATAAAGAAACAAACAAATAAATTTAAAAGGCACTTTGGAAACTGTGCAGGGAGACCAGAGAGCAGGGCTTTGGCTACACAAAACGTGGAGCTGGGGGTCCTCAGGCTTGGTTTCGCCTGGGCTTCTCCAAAAGGTGAAAGTGACCGGGCAGCGGAGTAGGTGCCAGTGTCCTGAGCCTTCTGGAAGATATTGAAACGGGAAGCCAAACCAGACGCTCTTGAAAGAGCTCAGAAGCATTACACTTTATAGAGTTGGGGAGGGCGTTAGTCGCTGTATAGGAGGACACCCCCCGAGTGACTGTGCTGAGGGGGACTAGCAGCCAGGCTCTGCTCTCTGTCCGAAGCGATCACAGGTTTCCTGAAAGGCAGCGAGAGGCTGTGAGAGAGGTTTGCTGCTACGCCAGTGACTGTTTTTTGGGAGCGTGGCTCCCAGTGCTGTCAGATATTCGTGCAGACTGATTTAAGGAGACCAGGGTCTTGCAGAAGACCAAATTTGGGGACACTTGTGGGATCCTGGACACCGCTGTCTTGACTTTCCCCTCCTTTTGGCAGGAGTCACTGCAGCCTGCACCTCTGCCCTGCTGTGAGGTGCGTTCCAACATCTGCCCCCTGCTGCCGTTTTCTCTTCCGTTCTGTAATCGCGGTGTTTGTGAGTCTTTAGTGATTGCCTGCTGGAGACTCCTGCCTCTCAGCAGATAGCCTGCTGTTTGGTGTTTGGTTTCGGGGGGCTGTTTTTCTCCTCTTCCTTCAAGTTTGTCTTAACTGTCTTCCTTTTCTGGGACTGTTGTTGATGTTGCAAGTGAGTCCTCTGGAGTCAGCACTGTCTCCTCTCGGGGCCACCTCTGGGGCCACTTCTGCGGGGCACCTCTGCAGGGCACAAACTTCCCCTGTGCGAACTTACCTTTCACCTGTAACCCCACATTTTCTTCTCCCTTACTGCTCACATCTGTTCTCTACCCGTTGGGTTACTCCTACTTTTCTGCCCATTTCCTTCCCCTGTGTGGCTCACTCTCTGTCTTTTCTCCTGCTGAGTTTAGTTAAACCAACCCTTTATGACTCCTGGGCCAGGCACTGCCCAAGAGGCTCTCAAAGACCACGATGTGATTGAATCTTTAAAAAAAACAAGTCTCAAGCCGGGTGTGGTGGCTCACGCCTTTAGTCCCAGCACTTGGGAGGCAGAGGCAGGAGGATTTCTGTGAGTTCGAGGCCAGCCTGGCCTACATAGTGAATCCAGGCCAGCTGGACACAGGGCAGTGTGTTCACAAGGAAGTTGCCACAGCTCACTTTTGTTTCTCCAGGAAGTCTTCATATATTTCTCCCACCCCAGGCTGTGGTAGTCCTCCCTGGCATCTCTCCAGCAGTATTTGTTTACAGTTGGGGTCTGCAGATGGATATTGGCTTGTTCTGTGACCAGGCTGTGTGACTGCTACCCCTTGGTTAGCTTTCTGTTATAGATCCTGGCTCAGGTCCTACTGGGTCCCAGGGGCGGCATTGCTTATGGTTTCTTTGTGCCTTGGCTGCTTCCATTCCTGCTTCCCTGTTTGGTGTTGGTGTTACTTGTATCTTGCTACCTCCCTTTGTAGGTATACTACCCTGTTCCCCATTCTACCCCGTGACTCCCATCAAGTACCAGAGGCTCCGCCTTTTTTGTCTTTGTTGCCTGAACCCTGTCAGGATTGTGTGTTCCCTGCCCATGTGGGAACAGGTGTGCGGATGCCAGTTGTTATGGCCATTAATTAGAACTGGGAAGTCTGTCTCACAGAGTGGTTAGGTCCCTGTTGAATGTTTGATGGTGTCTGTGAAGCTGCCCTGACAGGTATGTACGTATGATCAAGAATGATTTTCCTAGGCAAGACTCAGTGTTCCCTAGCCATAGAGAGACAGCTTGCTACTGCTCAAAATCAAGTATCTGGGAGTTAGACTGTACAACCCTGAATATTAAAGTCATCTGTTAATTGGTCAAACCTTTACCCATTCATTCAGTCACTCATTCACATAACAGGTATTTACTAAGTACTCACTGATTGAGCACGTGCCAGGTACTGAGAAGGATTCAAGTCACAGTCCCTGCCTTCAGGACCACCTGTATAGTATGGTACACATGCTGCTGACATTCGGTGTCATGAGTATGAAATTCTGGACAAACCTAGAGTGGACACCTAGAAAGGGACCTGTCTAACCTATGCTGGAAGTGCCAGGGCAGATGAATTGGGCCACGGGTATTTGTGATATGGTAATGGAGCGGGCAACATGGAGCCAAGATTCAGGGCCACCACTGTTTAACCAGGTGATGAAATGTTATCCAGTCTCTCTAAACCTCTGTTTTCCTGACTGTGAAGTGGGATAGTATGTATGCTCCAGGTTTGTTGTAGAGATTCAAAGGGGTTCCTTGTATGGAAGACCCCTGTAAGTCGCAGTGAAGTATTCAGATCATACAAGTAGAGCTTTTGAGTTGGAAAAGGCCCTGAGATCAACAGGAAGGTGACATGTTAGGGGATGCAAATCAGGAGACCAAGAGTCCCTGCTGTAAGTGAGATCCTGACTTAGTTGAAGTGCTGGGCTGCCTGGTTGAATTTGGGGCAATGCTCCCAAGAGTGGAGTGCTGGAGAGCCACACCCCCAGCAATCAGCAGTCTAGACTGTCTTCCTGTGTGCTTTCAGTTTTCACTTCCTTCTCGCTCCTCAGCTTCTATGACAAGAAATGAGTGGACAGAACACCCCTGTTACCCTTCCATCCCTTCCCTCTCCCACCAGGCAGAAACCTTTCTTTGTTCTCCTAAGCTCTTGGTACTGAGTGAGGGAGAGGGTAAGGGAGGCAGTAAATAGCAGGAGTCAGGTAGTGCTGTGCAGATAGTGAGCAAGGGGTTCTGGGAGTGGAAGAGAAGACTCTTTTCTCCAGTGGACATGAAAAGAGCCCCTCCCACACCAGGTCCTGGGAACTTCTGTAGATTGCCAGCCATATTTAGGAATATGGAAAGTCTTGAGAGCTGCTTCTGTGACCAGAAGCCCAAGTCTCCTACTACCAGTGGGAGTTGTGAAAAGCTGGGTCTGCTTAGAGACATCCTGGCTACTGTGTCATGTTGTCACAGGCTATAGAAGGAAAAGCAGCATTGCTCCCTCCCCCCACCTGACCACTGTGGACAGTGGCTTCTTTCCTCAGAATGCTGTGGTCCTGGAGTTCCTCTGGTGTCTGTTCCATTAGAGGTATCTGATTCTGCCCAGACCGTTGGCTTTTCTCTCCTAAGGTACAAAGTGTATTCTTGGAATGGGAGGGGAAATGTGACAGGGTCTCCAGTAGCCGGGTCTCAAAGACGTGGTTCCTGATGGTATATGATTACTGCTAGCACTTAGAAGCATGCATTACCCTCTCAGAAGTTAGCACAATGTCCCTCTGTACCCCAGGGAGATTGAGTCTAGCACCCTTCATGAATACTAGCATCTGATGTGCTCAAGTTCCTAAGGTAATATGCCATCATACAACCAGGCGTTGCTTTATGGTAGGCATGTGTTCTCAGAACTTTGTTATTAGGTGGTCTGGTCAGTGTGTAAACATCCCACAGTCTACTTATACAAGCTGACATGGTGTAACCTGCCACATTCCTGGGCTGTATGGTATATACTGCTGTATGTGCTGCTCCTTCTTGTTTTGTGGTATATATATGACTGCATATAACATATGCACATCCTCCATGCACTTTAAATCATCTCTGGGTTACTTACAATATCTAATACAATGTAAATGCCATGTAAATAGTTGTTATACTGATTGTTTAGGGCATAATGATAAAAGTCTGTACTGTTCATTATAGATATAATTTTTATTTAATTATTTATCAGTTCTATTTGTTAGTGGTTTTGTGGTGCTGAAGTTGAAACCCAGGGCTTCATGCATATAAGGCTACTGCTCTGCCTCTGAGCAATGCCCCAGTCCTTGTCAACAACTTTTCTAGAAGCATGTCTATGCTAAAATTCTGTCTGAGGTGTTCATCCTGTCTTTGCCCATTCTGTTTGGGCTTAGTGATACATCAGGTTTTCTCTGAAATCTTTGTGACTGTTGTCTAACTGGTCAAAATTTCAGATCTCTGTCTCTCTGGTCCCCACTGAAGATGCTACTGCATAATAGTTATCATGATGGTTAATGGAGAAAAAGTGGAGAATACAAGAGCCCTTTCTTCTCTTCTTTAAATGTGTGTGCTTCTGTTCAGTGTCTGACTCCCCACAGCATTGACATGGAATTAAAAAAAAAAAAAAAATGCCTAGTTTACAGTGAAAACTCTGAGGCTCAAAGCCTTGTGTAAACTGCCCAAAGGCAGTAGGAGGTATAGCAAGATTTCAAACCTTGATCTGTCTGACTTCAAAGCCCATGAACTTAACCACAATGCTATTATAAAATTGTATTCCAAAGACAGTGGTGATTGATGCATAT